TTATAGCATTGCGACCTAATTACAGCATTACGACCCAATTACAGCATTACGGCCTAATTACAGTATTACGAAAAGTGTCATAACTGTAATGCTGTATGCTGTAATATTACGGCATCGGCCAATCAATTACGGCTAACATCTTTATTCCTGTACATAATATCCTTTGTCAATTTATACCATCAAAATATTGAATTTCTACTCGGAGTAATGCTATTGAATATTTGGCGATTAATCCAATTAATCGCAAACTCCAAATTCATTAATAATTAAGTGTTTTTAGTAAAAATCGGCCGAATTATTATTATTTTTTTTAAAAAAAAAAATTTCATAATTACTTGTCGAGAGACACGTTTATTAGACGAAATTTCATTTTTACAAAATTTTTACGAAATTTTCAAATAAAGATTCTTTTGTAGTATTTTTATTATAATTTCTTGACGAAAGACGAGTTGAAATTCATTTTTACAATTAAAATTTTTCGTTAATGATTATGCACTGAATATAAACAATGTAAACAAGTATAAATTCGAATTAAAAAAGAATATATTTTTTTGATTTTTTCCATTTGGTAAAAATGTGTCGATTTATATGACCAATCAGCAAAATTTTACTGAACGATCTCAAGTAACCATTTTTCATATAATAATCGGTATAAGTCGATTTTTCACCAAAAGACTGAATGAGGTTTTGTTTAACAATCAGTATCAGTTGATTTGTGATTGATTTTACCAATTTTTGCCGTTGGTCAAAAAATGTGATGAATCACATGACCAATCGGCAAAAATTATGCCGAAAGCTCTTAACGGTCGAAAGTTTTGATTTCGACCAGTGTACATCATAATTATAATAACGAAACTAATTGTGTAACTGATTAAATCAATCTATACAACAATCAATTTTTATTCCAAATTTTCCTTTTTTACAAAAAAAAATTCTCATACAAATAATAATATAATAACATATAAAATATCTAAAGTTACAATTTCTGGAACAACTATTAACCTTTAGTTACTTGTTCATAGAATTGCTACTATTTTTGAAATTACCATAAAAAGAAATAACCGTATTTCTGAGCTTAAAAAAGTTATCAAGAAAGCCAGAAAACCTGAGTTTAATAATTTTGCTCCAGATAGACTTAAACTTTTGAAACTTAAGAACTCTGTTAATGATAACCAAATTTCTAATACAGTTAAACCTTGATATAGCGAACCCTTGATATAGTGAATTTTTCAGACAACTATAATAAATTTCCCCTTGCTATAACGAATTAACCAATCAAATCTCTTAAAATCTTCACTATAGCCCTATAGCGAAGTTGAGGTCTGGAACCTAGGGTTCGTTATAACAAGGGTTGACTGTATTCAAAACTTAACACTTCAAGATTATAAGAATGAGAATGATAATGTTTATCTAATGAAGGATATGCAAAAAATTGTTACTTACTGGTTTGAAAATTAAGCACCTCCTGAAAATCTTATACACATTATTGTAGAAGTGCCTGATATTGCCAGTGATGCTAGTAAGTGATTATAATAAATTTGGTCAATATTATTGCCAGCTTAATTAGTCATTATTGATAATCTAATAAAAAAAAGGATGAATATGTGCAAATGTGCAATATACCAATATAATTATAAATAAAAATATATTTATCAGGCATTTACTAATTAGTAAAATAATTTATATACTATTTATATTAATACAACCAGTTTATACTAAGTTGTATAAAAAATACCTATTATATAAGTCTAATAAAACCATTACTCAGTACAATGTGATTTCATAATTGCGGTACTGTTATGCCTGACATATATTTGCAATAAAAATATAATTAGTAAAATTTACTGAGCTATGTTTAGTAAATCTCACCAATCATATTGCTTATTACAAATATAACAGTTACTTAGTACTTCATGTCAAATAACTATTAAATACTATAATTTATTAATTTGTATTTAGTGATATTAATAAATCTGTATGTTTTATACTAGATTGTTAATAAATTTATAATTTATCATTACTTTAAGTAAAAATAAAGATAATACATATATATATATGAATAAGTCATCAATTTCTTCTAAAAGTCTCTTGACTTCTTTCATTGGAGAGAATATTTATATTAAATTAAAATCTGGAAATTATATCTATGTGCAGATTACATCTCACCTTAGAACTGGAAAAGAGTGTATAGTTTTTTTGATACAAGTATATAATTATGAAATAAAGAATGCTATTTTAAAGGTAAATTAATCCTGAGAATATCTTATACTATATTTAATAAACTTACTATATTGATCACTTTTTTTATCTGAAGATTGAAGTTTGAAATATCAGTATTGCATGTACTAAGTGATCTTTTTTGTATTCCCAAAATTCTCTTTGAAGGTCATACAATAAGAGGTTCTCTAGCTTTACTAACCGATTTTGTGGAACTACCTCTGGAATCATGGATTTCTGATAATGGTAATATAGATGATTATACAATTTTTCAAATAATTTTAGATTTATTATCATGCTTAAAGAAGATACATACTTATGGTTATACACATGGAGATGTAGCTATATGAAATGTTATATAGAAAAATGGTCATTTCTATCTTATTGATTTTGGCCTAGCAACTTCATTGCAATTTTACTTCGATCTATAGCAAGAAATTATTCAAGACTATAACGGATTGTGTCAAATTATTGGAATTATTAAGTTTGAAAAGAAAATGTCATTTTCAGAATTAATAGACAAGCTGAAAGGAAAACTAAAATCATTTGTTATATTTGTTGAAGGTGGAAAACAACTGATAAAAAAGAAAAGTATTTAAAAAAATTTGATGCTATAATTAAACAATTTTATGAGAAATTGCCTAGAAAGATATTGCAGATATAATAGAAAATATTAATAATTTTATAAATTCATATGTTTATATAAGTTGAATAATAAGGTATCAATTTGATATTATATACTCAATATCTGTATATCTATTATTCTTTTTTATCAGTTTTGTATTTTATATCAATTCCTCTAATTAATTCATCTTCTGCTTTTCATATTTGTTCTATTTCTTTTCTTATACTTAACTTTACTCCTCATTTCATATTTGCTCTTTATACTTTTATATTTGTTTTATCTTTTTTATTCTATTTGAATTATCTACGCTTAGTCTTTTTATTTTTCTTTGGCTTTACTTTTCCTATCTCTACTCTTCTACCAAATTTCTCTTCTACTTTTTTATTCAATTCATCCTCTTCATTTTTTTCATCCTTTCCATCTTCTCTACTTTCCTTATCAAATTTAATTTCTATTACTTTTTTTTTTTATTTTACAATTCTTTTTATTTCCTTTTTCACATTATAACTAAATAATACTATTTATTCTGTCATACTTAAGGTTACTTGCCGAAACCTAGGGGTTTAGGCAAGATGGCGTTTCGCCGAAAAGCGAAATTCTGCCAAAACTATATTAAAGTTATATTAAAAAACTGGCGAAACTTTGGAAAAAGGTGAAACTGCCAAAACTTATTATAAATGCCGAAACTGCCGAAACTCTGCCGAAACTATAATAAATCTATAGTAAAATTTTAACAAAACTAATCGTAGAATTTTGAAGAGGTTTAGACAAGCAACCTTAGTCATACTATCAAAACTAATTAAAATATTTCTTTATAGAACTAGAAAAATTAAAAATAGAAATATTAAACAATTAAATCTCAAAAAATACTAGTTTAATTATTATATTTAGCATATAAATTTTAGGGGGATGGATGGCTTCAAATCATATTTGTAAGTACTATTATCATACCATTGCTTTTGTTAAACTTTAACATATTGAATTTCAAAACCAATAGTATCAGTCCATCAAAATATTTTCTTGATCTATTATAATAAATAATTATAGTAAAGTATTATATAATTAATATATATTATATATTTTTTCTATTCTTGCCCATGGGTAGTTTATAAGTTAAGATCTGGTGTGCAAAACTCCAGCTTATAAATTATGTTGATCATTTGGCTTTCAATTTATGATTATTGTTTAATATATCATAGCCTTATGTAATATAATATATATCTAATGTTCGTTTGATCAGATTGACCTAGAGCTGGAAATATCATTCATAGAATATTGTGATTATTATGTAGTCCAAATATATTCTAATAAAATGGTACATGATTCAACATTTTTTTTTAAAAAAAAATATATATATATAGACTCCAGATATCTCCAAAACAGATCATAAGTCATACTTTCGGTCAAACATGGCATAGTAGCCGTTATTTTTATTAATTATTTATTAAACTTTACAAAATTACATATAAGAAAAAAGAAAATAAAATAAAAACTAACTAAAAACAAAGCTATATAGTCTCCTAGGAAGAAATTAAAATTAAAAGAAAATTCAAAAAAAAATTCGCTAATACTAACACTTTCAAGATCTCCTCCCTTGATATATTCCAACCAAAGTAGAAGCAACTATGCTAACAAAATAACGAATGACGCGCCCACTATTAAAATCAACACTTCATCCTGCAAAAGCGATTATTAAGTAGCACCGTTAGACGACCCATAAAACCTGAAATGTGATCAAACCAAGATAATCCATATTGCATCGAGTTTTTTAACCAATCAGTTCTGGAGTCACGTGAATCAATATGGGACAGAGGTGGTAAAGACGAGTAAGGTAAATAAGAAGATTTAGACAAACCTTTAGGCCTTGAAGATTGTTTGAGTGTTGAAGTAATGTTCATCGCATGTTCCCATAATCCTTTATCATATGAACGCGGATGCCAAATTTGTTTACAGAATTTGTTGACAAAATTGTTATGTATGGCGGCAACCACATTTATAGCAGTGAGGCAAGAAATACCTAGGGTTTCAAAAACTTCCAGAAAGACAGTAGGAAAACAGCCATGGACTAGACTATAGGAAGACCAGTTACTAGATGAGAAAGTCCAATAAGAAAGGGAAGTAATTCTATCAACTAAAAAAGAGTAATCGCAATTGGCATTATCACCCGCTTCTTTAATTTTTTGGATAAGGTGGTGGAGGTATGATGTTAAAATTTGGTGTAATTTAACGCGACACTTTTTGCATAAAAATAAGTGCATAAAATCTTCTAAATGGTCTTCACAAGAACGACAGGTTAGAATCTCCACATATAAATCAGGTCGTGTTTTTTTCAGTAATTCCAAAGTGGGTAAGTCTTCTAGAAAAAGTTGAAATTTTAGCGTATGATGTTTAGAGACATTCTCCTTGGTGAAAGAATTATCAAATTTAGGTTGGAATATTAATGTATGCCAGGTAAGAGCCCAATCAACCATATATCAAAATGGATCCATTAAGAGAGAAATAAAACGGAAGCGAGAGAGAGCTAAAAGATCTTTCATATACAACATCTGGTGATATTGTTTAAAAAGATGTCTTGGGTTGGATTTACAGACTATGTCATCATAGATCATAATATAATCATGAACTGCGACGAGATCGAGATGGGAGATGAGAACAGCGTCGTCAGATGTATGGCAGAATTGGCAAGAGAATCAGCGAAGTCATTCCAATAAAAATTAGAGTGAGCTTTAACTTTGAAAGGCAAAACCGAAAGTTGTTTATTCACAATCAGTTGTTGTATGATGGTCCAAAGTTCAAAATTGGTAGTTTTATAATAAAGACGAGAATCTGAATAATCAGATAAGAAACAATGTTTCAAACCATCGATGGAAGACTGTGAATCTGTATAAATATGAACAACAGAGTTGACAGGAGAGGCTGATAAGGCAGCATAAATAGCAGCAGCTTCGGCTTGAGAAGAGAAAGGCCAATCGTAAATAATACCCCGCTTGAAAGCCAGAATCTTTGACAATTTGAACCCAGCCCCATCCCATAGAGATATCACTAGTTCCTAAATTAATAAGAGAATCATCAGTGTAAAAGGTATAATGTAAATCTGAAGAAGGCACGACCGATGATGATGCAGCAACATCGCCAGCCATAAGCAAATGTGGAGTAGGCGAAATCATATTAACAGTATCAAGAAAAATATTGGGAATATCAGCAGCAAGCACTGAGCGAACTGAAGGATTATAAATTGAAGTAACAAAGTCCATAATTTCCGCCCATAACACTGTAACAGTCAAGCTGGATGTGTGATTCATAATGGATGTTTTCTTCATAGGCAAAATCCATGACCAACGAAGAGAGACTGAAGAAGAACAAGACACAGAACTGGTAGTAACCGATTTCTTTATATAAGAGGATTTGTTGATATTCAAGATGCAGCCAGGACAAGGTTGTAGAGTAATGAAGTCGCTCGGACGAGATAAGCAGTCTGAAATCCAATGTACAATAGTACAAGTGGAATGCTTGAGTTGGATTTGAATCTGTTTACCAAATATAGGGAGGCCATCATCATTCATCATGACAATCCAATTCTTCTTATAACCAGAAAAAGGAATACAAGGAGCAAGTTCTTTTGCAATCTGGCTCACAGGTCGTTGTTCAGTCATAAATCGATCTTTCAATAAACCAGGTTTATTGGGAATCGTGACATAGGACCCCGGATATCTCCAAAACAGGTCATAAGTCACACTTTTGGCAGATTGGCCCATTTTTCAGAAGCTCAAAAAATCGTTTTTTGTAAATATCTCGGCATCCAGTGGTCCAATTTTGATGAACTTTTTTTTAAATTGTAGAGCTAAATGAGGGCTACAAAATAAAAAAAAGTTCATTAAAATTGAATTACTGGATGCTGAGATATTTACAAAAAACGATTTTTTGAGTTTNGCTGAGATATTTACACAAAACGATTTTTTGAGTTTCAGCAAAAAGGGGTGTTTTTGGCCAAAAGTCCATTATGACCTTTATATTAGATATCCGGAATCCTCGTGACATTAACAGAGAGATTTTCGTACCAATTGGAAAGACGGGCATTACACGCTTTGGAATAGAGTTAGCATATATGACAGACCAAGAGAATAAATGTGTTCCCTGGGGTGTCAAAAGTTGCGAAAGGTAAAAAAGGCTACGTTTACGAAGTCTTGTTAAATTGGCCTTGAATACATCCAAAGAAAGACATTGATAAATAAGAGTATGGCCATTAGGGTAGGTTAAATCAGGCACAGGTGATAAATTAGTTCATAACAGACGGAAGAAAGTTGAAAGCAAAGAGGCTAAAGTATTAGCGATATAATCTTGTTTAAAAATTATAAGAGAAGACCAACAAGTCCAATCCAAAACCATCAAAGGAGAAATAGGAATTAAACAATAAAATTGAATAAATCGCAACCTATAATTAAAAAGTAATTTCATAAAAACAGAAGAAGAATTTGCTAACAAAAATAAATTAGTAAAATGACTTTGTCATTGAAATGAAAATAAATTAATCAAACCCAGGGCTTGTGTTAAATATAATACCACATTAGGAACAGAACGTGATAATTTGGCCTTGTGTTTAACTAAAGCACGAACTGAAGAGGTAATAGCGGAACATTCAGCCTCAGATAAATGTGTAACTTGCATTCAATAATCCAATTTCGGGATTAAAACAGTATTATAAAGATATACCACTTGTTGGACATTCAGTTTCGCAAAGCGAAGAGTTGCAGAAAAAGAATTACTGACATTCTCGTTTAAGTTGTTATCGGATAAAATTCCTAGAGCCATTAATATTAAACTAAACTCCCAGGAAACGGAAAGATGAGGACATAGGAATAGGAGTAACAGTAATGTTGGGTGTAGAGTTGAGTGATGAAGTGATTGAAGTCAATAAATTAAAGGCTATAGGAGATAAGTCCTGAGAGACAGTAATTGCATTAGTGGTTAAAACAT